ATGGGGGGGCGCAGGGCGGGTCCAAGGTTGCTGTGGACAGAGGCTGATCCAGCATCCCACGGAGCAGCCTCCGTCCATGGGGAGCTCAGACCCTCCACGGACAGGGGCTACTGCCATTGTGTGCTGCTGCCCCCGATCAAGAGGCAGCAGCCTGGGGTGACAGGGACTGCCTGTCAGCCCTGCTGCTGGGGACTATCAAATAGTTGTGTAACCACTAAAATCTGATATGGTTACATGACTGTTCAGTTACACACTATCTAACATCCCTAATGTGGGGTAGGGGTGCAGGTGTGAGGGCAGAATCAGGGAGGAAGTTTGGATGTAGGGGGAGTTTGTGACCTGGGGTAGGGGTTGGATGCAGAAGGGGATGAGGTGCCAGGTACAGTCTCTGGCCAGGAGGTGCTTACCGTACGCAGCTCCTGGCTGGTGGCCCAGTGGGACCTTCAGGCAAGCTTCCCTGGCTGACATGGCCCCACATACTGCTCAAAGCATCTGGCTTCTGAGGCCAACCTGTGTGTGTCTGCATGGTGCACCACATGCCCACAAGCACTGATCTTGGTTTTCAGCCAATGGGAGACTGAGGACTGTACTGCAGTCAAGGGCAGGGTGCTTAGACCTTCCCTGCCCCCATCTCCAAGAAGCAGGCTAGGCCCAGCAGCCAGCCATTTTCAGTAGCCTTTGGGGTTACTGCCTGGCGGTCCCACTGGGCCAGATCCAAATGTAACATTTACAATCTCATATGAGGGAGACTTTCAGCATAAATATATTTATTCTGGTGGTGTCTGAATCTTCCCGAAAACTTTGTTAACAGTACAGTCAGAGCTGGACTCCTAAGCATAAATCTGACTGTTCCACTTATTTCTATATAAGGTTTTATGTTTTCTGGTTTTATTGGAAATTGTTTTTGAAGGGGGGAGGGATTTCTCTTAGTGCTTTCAATCTGTCAAGCAATACTGTTTGACATCACTTTTTTATGGTAAGTCTGTTTGGTTGAAGTAAGATTGTTTGGGAAGATGGAGTAAATTCTGACTTTTTCTTCCCCAGCAAAATGATTAACTTATCTCAACCAGATACAATTGATGAACGGGCTATTAATAAGAAGAAGCTCACACCTTTCACTATTTCAGTAAGTATGGACCCTTTTCTGACAACTAATTATATTACAGAAGGCTATTGTGATAGCTTTGCTTAATGGAAGTTTTTCTATAGACTGAAATGGGACATTTCCCTTCCACGAGGACTTTGCTATTAAATCCCCTTGTGATTTCTGTGCTTTTGTTTTTCCTCTGCATTGCAAATTACTGGAGAAAATGAGCCATAGAAAACAATCAGCAGGTAAATTGTTCTTCGTGTGGTTATCTTTTTTCCAAAATGGACTCATGATGGAAGCCCGTTTTCAGTAGTTTCTAAAGTGGAGGAGGAGTTAGCACTAGAACACTTTTTAAATGGTCTAAAACACTTTTTTGTACTTCTGAACTAAATAGTGAGCGCTGAGTTATTATAATGATAGGTCCACATAAGTATCTACTATAGGTAAGCAAATAAAACATTGCTTACCTAGTGTTTTGGATAAACAGCAAGTACCCTGACATGGTTACTGGTTATTATTTATTAATTTATTTGTATTAACATACCACCTAGGAACCACATCTATGGGTCAGGACTTCATTATGCCAGGCACTGTACAAACATAAACAAAAGATTGGCCTTGCTCCCAGAGACCTTACAGTCTAATACAGTGTTTCTTAAACTTGTTAAGACTGAGGAACACTAAACAATAAATTTTTATGAGGAACACCAAGGATTTTTTTATTGAGCAAAAACAAAACAAAACAAAAAAAACCCCACAAAACCCAGTTTAAGAAACTGATGGATGCAGGCAGATGGAGGAGTACACGGAAATGTACAAGGAGATGATATTGGCCAGCATGAAAGGCATTGGTATAGTAGCTTAACCATTTCCAGTGTTGTTATAGACATCATGGCAGAGGAGAGTTTTGAGCAGGAATTTGAATAGGATAATAAGATAGCTTTTGTGGATGTGTGTGGGGAGTTCCTCTCCAGTGTGAGAGGTAGTATGAGAAAAAGCATGAAGGCACTCAGTCTTCTTCTTCTCCTGCCCTCCTCCCCTCCCCTCCCCTCCCCACAGCCCAGCCCCTTCCCCTCCCCCAGGACCAGCTCTAGGTTTTTTGCCGCCCCAAACAAAAAATGTTTTGGCCGCCCCCACATTCTGTATCCCATCTCCCTCTCTGAGGGTATGTCTACACTACCACCCTAGTTCGAACTAGGGTGGTAGTGTAGACATACCCTTA